TTTAGCGAGTTATTTTCTACGGGATGGGGTCACTAACCTCACTCCCAATCCTCTTCCTTTATCCAGGATTAAGGCCAACAGTGGCTCCAGAGGCGCTACAATCGTGGATAGGCTATAGATAGAACAATATATTTCAAATGAACAAGAGAGATAAGCTGCACAAAAATGACCACACTTGCAAGGCCGAGCTACGCCATCCGACTGATTTGAATCAATTATTCCCACCTTCGCCACTGTTGGTTCTTTCCTCCTGTTAGGTGATGAATATATATATTCCCACAGTCATCTCGTGTTCAGCTCTAAAATTGTGTAGTTTGGGCTTGACAACACTACACGCTTTCCCATCAACAATATAGACAACAAGCGTGCATGATTCAGTTACATCTTATCGATAGGCGCATGCAGTAATTATCGCACTCCGTTTCCTATGAGTACGTGGATACGACGAAATGGTAAACCATATTAGCTATTAAACCCGAGGAGTACTTCAGCGTAAGCTGGGAGGTCATGTCGTTCCTTGAGTAGGCTCTTAACCATCAAGTGTCATGTGGCAAACCATCCACGAATAGTAACTATCATTTCCTCTTTCGGCGAACTTTTTCTAAACACGAGTTTATGACTACACGCTAATGCTTCAAGTCACACTTGGAATATTTCCACTTAATTATCCCGCAAAGAGATGTTGGTCAGTCAGTGATAAATCTAAACTTCAACTTTGGTAAGCCTTTCAACGTTGTTTCATACAGCCTACTTTTTCTAAAACTTTCTTCTTATAACATACAAGATCTCTTATTTTATCTCAGTTCACGTATTTTTGAACAGAACGTTGCCAAACCGTTCGCAATGAGTCATGTCATTCTGAAATTGTGGATATGATCAGTGGGGTTAAATATGGTTGCCCCAGTATATCCTCTCCTTTTCACTGCGATTGACCTTTCGTTTTGCCAATCACCTAAAAGTGGTTCATTCATTACCGCTCTCTGTCAAAGATAGCTATATTTTGGCGGTAACTTGGGAAAACATAAGCAGTCATACAAATGGCATGTGACGCAAAAACTGGTCGCTAAATGTCGATAAAAGTGAGTTTATTTACATTAACTCCAGCTCCACCCTAAATATGGTTCCACATAAACACTTTTCGAAAGCCCTCAACATTGTTCGTGAACTGTGGCTGAGATAAAGCAACTTTTTCGAGCACATTGCACCTGAAGTTTCCAATGCGACAATGCTCATTAAGCTCATAATGATAAGTTTCACTAACATCAAACCAGATTATCATTACCTAAAAAAAATGTATCATACCCATTCCTGAATATAACTTTTCAGTTTACGGCAACCGAAGATATAATGAGTTAAAAAAAATTAATGTGCATGAAGAACCGTTACAGTGGAACGAAAGGTAACCTATTCAAACACACATAGCATTTCAACCTTCAACATAAGTGTTATAATGTGTGGATTGCAGATTAGATGCGCAGCGAAGTGAATTCAGCGATCGGATCAATGACACGTAAAATACACACGAACGACCTAGAGTCCCGATTGGCCCTGCTTCTCTGTCTAGCCCAGCCAGTTGATTACAGAACACAAGTCTCAGCCTCTGAGATATAAATCATTATATTTCAGACATACTCTGTTTATATACCAACCAAACAAACCACATCGTACCATAAAATGGAAACAACATCTGTACAATATTTAACAAGTGAAATAAATACTGACCAATAGGGAATGTCCATTTAAAGTTCAAGGACACCATTAGACTTAACATGATAATTATTGGTATATTTTTCCGAATATCCTAACAATAAGATAATAGAAATATAGGGCCCATAAAAAAATAAGCAAGTGAATGAATACTTAAGCTCCATTTTCTTGACATACTTGAGGTCAAATCCTAAATAATCAACCTACGTTTTTACACACTCCTACGGTATCATAAAATCCTACTACATCGATGATTTCTTTTTTACTACTACTCAAACACATGTTACCATTCATTCTTAATTTGTTTCACAGAATAATATCACGGATATCTGTGCTTTACAAATAGAAATCGTCGAATGCTTGTACAGTGCACATTGAATTATAAAGTAATTATGATAACAGCCATCTGGCTGAAGAGAAAAAGCATGACTGAATTCTCAGCTTTCAGGTCAGGAGCTGGTAATTCCTGGCACATCGTCGTTTCTCAGCGGCAAGCCAGAAGAGAATTTAGAATTGTTCTATGAGTATGTCCTTGCTTGGTCTCACACCGAATTTACGCATAAGAACATAACAACGTTGACGAATCTACATGCTCCTCACCACAAGGTGTCTGGTTGAAATCATCAGCAGAAAGGTTGCCTTTGGCTTGCAGTGCAAAGTAATTATAACAGAAGGACTGATTCATTATCCTCGTCTAGAATAAACTCTCATATTGATGTTTGTACATTTTAGTTCTTTTGAAATTCCAAGACAATTGAACATCATACCACAAACTACAAGCTGTTTGAAACAGCGCAAAGGGATGCCACCTTAAAAGGATACATTACAATGCCACAATCATGTTAGCGACATTATAGCATAATAGATGGACTTAGAGGAAAGTTAAGGGTGATCACAAATGTGTTTACATTTCGAACTGAAGATCATGGTTCGTAATGAAACCTGATTCTCTACTGATGTCACAGTAGATAAACTGAACGTGCAAGGCATGACACTACTCAGATGCGACAGAACACGGAACAGATATCAGAGCAGCGACATAAAGCATCTGGTAAGTCAAAGTTAGACAACCACCTAATTTCAAACCATCTAGTTTTATCGGAGTCTTCTTGGGGTCTCTCCAACATGAACCAAACAAAATGCCCGACGAAAAGGAATAAATTTTCCTCCCAAAAAAAATAAAGCATGAAAAAGAAGTATACTCTAGGTGATATTATTAGTCAAACACATGTGAACTTGTCACATACTGCCAATCACCGATTTCAAAACCCTATTCCAGAACGTCGGCAATATGGGTCTGATACTTAAATAATGGTTTCACAAAAAACCCTTCATAACCACACAAGTTTATCAATGAATAAACGAGATATTGACACCACGAGACGAAGACATGGCGAATAATCATAAAGGCTGGACTACGCACCTTCAAACGACCAGCGTCAAACCACAGATGTTTCAGTGCGAGCACCAAGAGAAATAACAACCTCGGTACAGTTGAAGAATTATGGTCTACTTCGATACTAGTACTGCTCTAATAATAGAGCTAATCCTAAAATTGTAGATTTGTCATGATGCAACTGCCTAATCTATAAGATCTTACGTGGAAGCCACATCATTACACAGACCAACTCATCACATCGTGAGTCATCAATATATGATGAAGAACACCCTTTGGCTAGAGATAGAATAATATATTTAGTATGAATAAAAGGCACCATGCCATCCGATCAATTCAAATTCATTCCCTTTATTGTTCTCGCCTTCTCCATAGTTGGATTTTTCTCCGCGTTAGATGTTGGACATCTATTTTCCCAAGCGTCTCGTGTTCAGCTTTGAGGATTTTGTGGCTAAGGCCCAGTGCCACTACGCAGTCATAATAAGTTAATCACAAGACTATGAGTGGACATGCGAGAGCAATGGCAGAAGACCAACACGACATGTTAAAAAATATAATTCAGGAAGATATTTTGGATATAATCTCTCAAACAAAAATTCCAACTGGAAGGAGAATGTAGTGTTATTTTTTGCTCATCAAACGATTCTTGAAACCAAGGAAAGAATTACCAAGAAGATTGACATTCAATATGTAGAACATAGAGGAGATCGAAAATGGTGAACGCAGGAAAAGTTAATCGGTATGAAATAACTAAGCCTTGGAGGTGTTACAGAAGTGAAGACGTTTAACTGATTAAAAACTCTTATACTTTTGTGTCTGAAAAGAAGCTTGGTTCTATTGCTATACTTGGGTTCGTAAGTTACGAGTAGATCAACATACCGTGCTTCAATAACGGAAGATATCAGAATACTGAACGTAGCAGGGGGCGTGGCCATTTTGTGTAACTCGTGTCTTTCCACATCAAATATATTATTCTTTCCTCATCCGAACTGCGTTCTTTAGGAGTGTTAAACACCATATCGCTGGTATTCACGATAGGATGAGTCAGCATAGACAATAATATGACTTCCACTTAAGATCTTATAAACCAGGTAGCCACATCATGACAAATGTACAATTTTGGGATTAAGTCTATTGTCATAATAACAAATACAAATGTACTAATGCCGAATGGGACCATAATTCTACTAGAACATACTGGCTGACGCAAGGGACAGACTGTTTACTACGGACAACAATAAGATCCTTGAGTAGATAGAAAGTTATACTGGACGATTTTGATCACAAAATGTTACCTGGCATCAAAAACGTAAGTTGGGAGCGGCAGAAAGTGATTTCACATCTAGCTAGCCAACGAAATACAAGCTGATTCGAATAGACACCATTAATTCGTTGCCCGGAGGAAACCTATTAACCAAGGAATCCATGACGAAGAAGATCCTACCAATTAAAAATGATTGGGTGAAACCTTAATTACTATCGTCCCAAAAAACTGAGCCAGTTACCTACAAGTAAGTGGTATACTGCTACATCGGTACCTGTTGAAGGTTTAGAACATGTTTAACTCATGGAGAAACCGAAACGCTTACGACTAGGAAATTCACTAGATTGTGACATCTACCCCAAGGCCTTGAAATGGTGCGTGAAGAAAATGGACGTACTAATGGGCCACCCATTCATGCACTCACCCGAATCTCAGCAACTTCTTGGAGTATGGAATCAGTATACTCTATCTTCAAAGAATAAAATGGGAAAGTTCAATCTTATCATAGACCAGTTTATATCATCTTGGAAGTCACAGGGGACTTTGAAACGGGCTTAAACAACGCGAAAGGAGGACAAAGAGGTCGATCGATTCATATTAGTAAGCAGCGAAGGTATTGGATATTGGATAAAGGTCGTTACCAAATACCAGGAGTTTTAACTACTAGGTCAGTCCAGGTGTCTGGATCAAATCTAGTTTGAGGTTAGAAGGGTGGGGGCCGGAGTCAGTCCTTATCTAGTAAGTTTCTGTGCATGTAGAATATCCCCATAAACGGGAAGGCTTAAATTACGGATGCTGTTTTCCGTAGGATGTTCATATAGTTCATTACCTGAGCGAAAACACGTATTCCGGAGGATTCTTTTTTGTTCCAAGCTTTTAAATTCACCTGGTACCTCCGCCGAGTTGTCCCAGCCTAACGGTAGAGAATCTAAGACTTTATCTTTTACCTGATTGTTTCCATCAATTATAGTCTCGCCCAAAAGTAAGGTGCTAGTTCACGTGCACTTCTACCTTGACCTAATAAAACCTAACTTGTTCAGTCTTAAGATGTTTGATGACATTGTGTTTGTTCATTATCATCTGTTAATAATTCTAACATACAGTAGTAACCACGTAATTGGATGTCTATTCAGAACGAAAATGTTCAACTTAGCTGTATTTTCTGCGTCCAATAATAGTAATATCACTATCATTGTTTAACTATTTGGTCGCTCAATGATTCTTCACACACTGTAAGGCGTTTCTTGATGCTTAGTATCAAGTATTATTCCACAAATAAGTGGTGCACACCAAATAAATGTATTCGGAGTTTAAAGTAGAAAAAGTTGTCACCAAGCTACCTGTTAGCACATATTGTCTCTAGCTACGTAGTGTAAAAACAAATATTCAGAATCTTTCAGTAGTTACGAATTACGGTGTTTGCTCACTCATAGTTAACTACCACACCCTATGTAAGGTGGTTGCTTTTATTTGTCATACAAAGAAGTTAGTTCAGATTAATACTAGTCATTCCGAGACCTAAAAATATAATGTTAAGTTTTAGTAGGAATACAATTACAGACTACTGACTCTGTGCCGGTCTTCCTATTATATTACACTGGATATTTTCCTTAGCTACTCAAGGACTTCATACTTTTTTATATCTTATTAACTGTATTCCAAACTTATCCATGTTTACACATTTTCCTCCTCAAATCGAATGCTGAAATACTACTTAGCTGTTTCTTGTGATTAATTTTCAAATAGATGATACCAGGTAAAATCTTATCTCCTGTTGACATTCTTTTATCGATAGGTTCATGTCATTAGCTGCCAAACCATTATCACATTACTTAGGTACAAGATTCTGATAAATAACAAGCTATCTTCTTGTTAGGCACCACCTAACTAGTTTATTTTATTGGTCACTAGGTAATATAACTAAATGTACACCACGCGGTTGGCGTACAAAAGGAGGTCACAAACAGCGGTCTATGCGTTCGTGTCCTTCTGATAACCCTACGTACCGTTCATCTAAATACCATATTGGCGACCAATTACTGCGATATAACAATAAACGCTATTTCTATCCAAAAATTTGTTGCCGCTCTTCAGAAAGTTCACAAAAAGCAGCTACGGTATCGTCTGTTACCTGTAGATTGCTTAATGTTGATTTATCATATAAACTAGGAAGGTCTAAGGTTGTAGTCCTTTTTGAAACAATGTGAGATTGTTGCTCGAATGCTACGTTTTCTATTACGTGGCCAGCTTTCCATCTAGCACAACGATGAAACGTTTACTGCGTTATCAAGTGTCATAGAATATTATGCTGAATAGCCTCCTAATGCCCTAATACGGCCGAGAGTGGGGAGAGTCAGCTCTCCCTCTCCAAATGCTCCCACATGACCACGTGCATAAAACAACTGCCAGGGAAGTCCTACTCATTGCTTTCTCGCAGCATTACTGTTGTTTACGAAATTGAGAGGACGAAAATCGAATGTCCGGCGCTTTAACCAGATCGGTGGACCGCCTGGGGGTTTGGGACAGCCTAATTCCAAACCAATGGTGTATTTTGAAGAAACAAATGGCGTGCAAACGTATTGTTGGTCACTGTCTACCATGGGACTGTATCTCTTGAAGTTGCTCCACTGACTTGTGGATTACACCTTCAAGTCAAATGCTTGGGACGTGACCTATGAAAACCACCTGCCCCGGTTTGGTCACCCAAGTAGTATCTCAGCCCTCACACAAATCGGATGATTTATGTGGTGCATATATGTTTGGTGCATTCTTATAGCAATGCTTATGTGTTTAAGTAATAATAATAACGTTGTATAGACTGTAAGAATGATAGTGTTATTGACAAAGTGACACAAAATATGAAGAGCTGTCAATAAACAGTAAAAAGGTCTATGTTTTTGCAAGTTTAAAAGCACTTTATGTATGCACACTATGAAAGCTGACATTTTAAGACGTTTGAAAAAGGAAATTTATCAGTGCTTCACAAGTTCTGAGCCTAAAGAGTTTGTTCGTATTTACTCATTTTGGAGGTGACTGTCGAGATGTGTTCATTCGGTAAAGAACTTTATAACTGCGAGAAGCAAACCGTAAAGCAGTGCTGGTTGCTCAATTTTATAGCTGATCATTTAGGACCCTCAACTCCGTAACGGAACAGAAACTTATTTAAGAGCGTTATTGCCTATTTCTCTTGACCAAAACGACTTTATATAATAAAGTTCTAAGGAATGTCTTAGATAAAACGAAATGACAACAACTTAAAAAATAAAAACATGATCATAACAATATTAAACAATAGAGTTTAGAAAATAACTAAAGTGCAGTGTTTATCTATTTTGTTATCATAACATATAATCCGGTTCATTCTGCCAGATATTCATCCCGCAAAGCTTTTCTTTCAGTTTACTACCACGCAACAAGAAATTTTCGGCCTTGAAATTCGCTCAAATAATTTGAACTGTACCCAGCAAGTTTCATAGATTCCATATTCCAAAAGAAATGGTTTCCCTCGATGTCCCTCTCCCAACTATTGAGGAATTGACAGTCCCAGAACTAAAGATATCAAAGTGTCCACTGCTGGCCGCAAGCATTCATTTAGGGAAGTTTTGTGACAATGAGTCCAAGGTAATTTCCAAAAACAATATTTGTATGTATAGGAATTCATGCTTTGCCATTATGAAACACATGACCCAAGAGCTTGTCTTGGAGAGGGAAAGGCTCTTACCAGTTGCGCCCAAACCTTTTTCAAACAGATTAAACGGCATTGTGAAGATGAATTTCGGAATTACTTTACCTGCCTTCACAAGTATGGAGGGCCGGCTTACAGCCTAACAAAGTATGTTTTTTGCTTATCGGCGTATTATGTAGGTTTTTAAATATTCTTATGTTCATTATCTTGTTACTGAGGTGCCAATGGTATCATCTTTGGTCTCTGTTCTCATGTAATCATATGACTAAAGTGTGGAGCAATCGGTTAATAGCCGAACTGCTATCAGTAATGTAAAAATAAAATAATTCTTTGAAATTAGATAAAAATGTCTTGTGCTAGCTTCATGTTCGTATGAGTGTAAATTTCATGGGAGAATTGAAAATCTATTATCAAGTAAACAATCTCATTACAAATTTCACATACCGACCTTTTTTATATTCAATAAACTGTGAAAGTTTTCTATGGAGAACTGGAAAATGTAAAGTCTTTTGAAAATAAAACCTCATGTCAATATATGTGATATATCTGATTAGATATTTTACAATGCGAACCTGCTATACAGCTAGTAATATCTTGTCTGTGAACTAGTCAACCATACATATAAATTCAGATAGGTAGATACTATCAAGCTGATTTTATGTTTCACAAATTTTATGAATTGGTTTATTTCTTGCCATATACATATTGTAGATCAATCCCACTGCGTACTTGCTTGGGGTTTGAATGCAGAACTGGGTATGGTTTGAAAATTAACTCAATAAATATTCACTAAACACTTCCGGTGCTTCCTTACGTGTTCTATAAAATTGGATCCAAAAGGCTTTCCATAATGCTAACTGGTTAAACCACCACATTAACATATTTTTTGAGTACTGATTTCAAATGCAAAACAGATGAACCTAGATAATTATTACTGGAACAAGAGACAAATAATTTTTTTCTTACCAATTTTATTGATATAACTGTAATTTGAAAGCCTGGTTTGGTTTTTGTTTTGTAGATTTGAACATTGTGTTAGCTAGTGAAAATAGGCCTTGGTTTCTCAGAAATCGTTTACATTTTCCTCACAAACATATGCTTGACTATTATTGATTGTGAATTCATGGTTAATTCACTACCCAGTTTTTCGTGGCATTGGGTGAAATTTCTGCCAAACCAGACTTGAATGCATCATTTATTTTTTAGAATAATCGAGCATGCATTGCTTTATGATTTAACGATTCCCAGTCTTTAAATCTATAGACCCAAAATTCACCTACTTTACTTCAAACATTTTTATGTTTTTGTTCTTCATTGATGTGGTAAATGTCATTCACAATCTTGAGTACGGACGTTTTATGTTTTTTTCTAAATTATATTTATTTTCATTTATAATGTAACTTTGGACACTATTTTCCGTATATTCATACGTGCTTGTCTTCATCTTTACTGACAAAAGTTTGGAAATAATGATTATTTCTACAAGTTGGAAGTGTAGTAAATGAATGAAGCAAACGGTTTTAATGTAAGATTTAATAAGAAAAATGGTTCTCCCCAAATCTAGTATACATTCACCAATTAATAGGTCAATGCAACGCTGAATCTTCGGTATTATTATCATCATATCTTCTAATAATCTCACTAGTGTTCATATTGCGATTCCATCTACACTGGTCAGGATCTTACCTTCTAAACATTTTGAATATATACATAGTAGTTTTAAGACTTAAATAAGATGTTAGTTGGAATATTGTTAAACTCATAAGGTATTTTCATTACCACCATCATGAAAAAGGTGTATACTTATAAGGAATTCACTAATATGCAACTCTTTTTTGCATTCTATTTTCCATGTAGTTTAATTAACAAAATCTTGGAAACTTATCCTATGTTAATGCTTTTGTTTTACATTAATTAGATGCCGCGTAGCTCAGTATCCCTTTGATGAATGTATAAAAACTCACCTCAATCAAGAACGCCCGAAAACGGATTACTTTAATGTTGTTCGTCTTCACAAAACGAATCGGCCTAGATATAAACCTGGATTAGCTCCAATGCCCGAAAGAATTCCAGATTTGCCTAACTTGGATCATTTTGAAGAGCCTGAACGTATAAAGCACAGAGAAAAAATGAACGAACTATTAACTTAAACTTATACAGTGACGCAACAAAATACAACATCTGGTTATTATCAAGTATATATAAATATAGTCATTTTAGCTTAGTAATATTTAACATTCTAAAACTTGTTAATTCAATTTGTAAAAATCAAAATAGTCTATCAAAAGTTTGTTTTGCAAATATCCTACAAGTACATCAGCATGTACTTAAAGTGTGTGGCGAATAAAGTAGGTATTATTTTTAGGCTGAATCCTGATACGAAACACTATCATTTACTGATCAAGTGAAAGCAAAAAGATCTTTGAAATGAAATAAATCCCTATTTTAATTCATAACCTTTCACCATCTACATATTGCCACAACTACAGCAGTTGTGCTAGTAAAGATCTTGAAGTCATCAATGCTTAAATTGTGTTAGTTTCTATTTTGTTAAACAAGTGGACGTATTTCGTTGAAAACTGACAACTATATTGTATTAACGATGTGACGGTCAGCTGCTCATTGAAACAATGTGAACGACTCATCACATAAGAGATACCGGTTCATCTACATTAATAGACTGATAATAACTCTAAGATAACACAAATCGAAGCAAATCAACGACTGGGATATATTTTTCTTTAGTTTCACCGAATAACTAAGCATTAGTTAGTAACACCAATGAAAACGTCGCTTCTATAAATTTACTAAAGTTGTCTATTTTTTAAACGTACCATATAAATTAATGATACTGTGTCTTATACTGATCCCTTGCTACCGTCTGTTTAGGAAATGATGAGTGTCGTTTTGGTGAAGTGAATACTGGGGTTGTTGTAACTTTCAGAACTATTTTGCGGACTACTGTTGTTGACGATTTTATCGTGTGATTATTAAATAATCAGATTATTGTTTTTCTCTACTTCCCGTACTGTAATTTTTTGTCAGAACTCTTGACAACTGCTATACGTTTTGTTATTCCCTAATTATTGTTGACTACTTATGCACTTCTCTCCGTTATCTGACACTTATGGCATGATCATATGTAACGAACGGCTCTTGTTTCTAGTCCCTTGCTGTCTAATAATTTAAGTGTATTAGCTAATGAGTATTTAAGGTAAATATGCTGGGCATCTGAAATGTAGAACTAGAAGCTTGCCTACTATATTCTCTTATCCAGATTCAAGAATTGAGGTTGGGTGTTCGAGTCAGCGGAACCAATGGTAATTATGATTATCACGATTTTACTCAAAGTTAATCCTACCGGCCTATGCTCGTAATTAGTCACATTACGTGGTTAGCCTATGTAGAAGTATATTACGAGATTCTGATCACCAGGTCTATTATAGATATCGATTGCTTGTCGTGAGTGACGAGTGTCATAACTTATTAATCCTGTGCTTGAAGCGACGTGTCTTGTGTTCAAGTCAATGTGAATTATGTACAAACTCAATCACATGCACTATACAGACTTTACATCCCACTGCCATCAATAACTAAATACACTTTAAGAAAGACTGTTAGTTATGTCGACGATTCAGAACAGTTAACCTACATTCCAAAAGGGTCTGGTTAATTGGGGTATTTAAAAATATCGTCCATCAGTATTATCTAGTTATTGTATAAACGAAAACTTCCAGGAAGAGCTCACACAATGAAATTATTTTTAAAACACCATACTACTATTTAGTAGTTCAAAATTTTCTATAAAACTAGTCAAGAGTAACTTCATAGCCTACAGCTGAATCCAGTGCATACCATTGTAAATCGAAAAGTCCCTTTATTCCCAATCCAGAATCTGGTTTTCTGGCTGATAAAGTTCATATGATAAATGTGTAGGTTTTATCAATTACCTGTTGAACATTTTAAATCCAACAAAAATGGGTTTTTTTAGTTAGTCAATTTTTTGTTCGATGAAAATAATTCGCATTTAATTTCAAGTTTGTAGATCAATTCTTAGTAATAATCATTAGGGAGGATTATGAATAGTAATATCTCGTGAAAAGTGAATTATTGTCGAGCATATTTGTCTCTACTAGATCTTGGTACTTTACAAAATGATTCCAATTCTCATAATACTGATATTCTATTTTCATATGATTGGAGACTGAAAGTAATGGTAATATTTTTTTACACCGAAAGAATGTTAAGGATATAAATATGAACAAAATGACGAATATATGTTCAGCATACTGCTATAGTTTTAAGTATGTACACAGCGATGTATAAAATGTTCTAATCTTGCAATCCCTAAGTGCTTGAATGTAAGTTGGTCACATAAATTGTAGGTTTTAAGTTTACTTCCGTATCTTTTAGTTAGTTAAATGTTATTCGACATCAGAATAATATAACTATGTTAGAGTAAGCCTTTTTCTCATACAAAAACTTTTGCAACAAAATATCCGTTTGAATGTTTGGATCCGCCTTTTTTCACTGTTATACTTAACCTGCTTTTTTAAAACTTGTTTTTTTTGTATCATTGGGTACTTCAAATAGAGTTCGTTGATGTATTTAAGTTAACAGTTAATAATGACAACGACAGTTGCTTTATTCATTCTCGAAAAAGGTATCACATTCATAAATTCTTTGTAAATTATCGATTCCTTCTTGAATAGTCATATACGACGAAACGCGTATTATAGATTTCACTAATCTTTATATATCAAATTTACAGAAACATAATTGTAATCCACTTCCCGACCAATAAACTCGAGACATTGCTACCCAAATTTCTTACGGCTCATTAAATCAATACAAAGAAAATAAGCAAATAAATGGTTCAAACACTTGTTCAACGAAAAACTCCAAATGATCTCTCATATTCGGGATGCTGTAGCTCACTAAACTAGGAATAAACGGATAAATGATTATCCCAATACGTTTTAGTTAAGATTATCGAATTTTCATAGTTGATATTGCGAACTAATCTTAGTTAGATCACTAATGAAAACCGGGAGGCACTGAACAGTTGTTTTATCGTAGTATAGAATTTTTCAGAAGTATGCGTTCCCAACTTCAAGCCTACGAATCAGATCAGTCCGTAAATTAAACTATGAAAACACTAATCCCCACAAATCCCCCATATTAATTATAATCATGTGCTCTCTAGTGACTAACTTCAGGATGTAATTCCAGGAGTTCTAGTGAGAACCATAACTAGTAGAGTTCCATCATGTCGAGTATGTGAAAGGTACACTCACAAGCAATGGAAGATAGTAGAGCAATATCGCAAATTGATTGAAGTTAAACATATACACCATTGGATGCTGACTCAATAGTTTGGAGGTCGGAATTTCGTGTGCGATCTTAGTTTAAATCTGTCGTGGCGAGATCGTGGATTCACATTTCTGAGAAGCCCCACAGTAGGACAAAAGTGTTGTCCTGAACTTTCTTGATTTTTAATGATTGTCTAAGGAAGATCAGCCAATGGTATAAATTACAAAAACTGATGATTATATGAAGGCATGTAAAACTATTCCTGTATATTATTTCTTTCGTTTATTTTTACTATTAATTTCCGAGTTATTTGTTTATTCGATAAAATGTCACTTAAGGTCATATGTATATATTAACGTTTTGGTATGATCCTACAGCATGAAGGATGAACTCATTAACAAATTTTTAATTTTTCAGGAAAGTCACGTAGAATATCTGTCAGTTGACAAAATATATCATAATATATAAGATGAATTTCAAGTTCAGTAAACCTTGAAAAATAATATTGTTAAGCTTATAAATAATACTGATAATTATGTTTATCTTCTTTATGCAAGCTATATACTATGGAGTTTTTTCATGGTTTTTAAAAATATACTTCTTTTAATCATTTGATCATAAAGTTAAGTACACTACCAACCATTTTATTTTGCATAGATGAGTACACATTAACATAAAAGATGCTTTAAAAGAGGGTGTATTCAAATGAATTTTTAGAGAAATTGAAGTATACTTAAGGAAGTGCCATTTACCCAGTCTTTTTTAACACTTTTTCCTCTATCGAATTTGACTTTTCTAACGACTTTTTCGTCGATTTCTACGATTTTCCCGATTGCTCCAAACGACTGGTTCAAGCTTGTCATTTTCATTGCACATATATCTGGACAGTACTCATACCATTGGACTATTGGAGCTTCAGTAACATCTGAAAGGGTTACAGCTAATGTTATTGGTGCTTTTATTATCCAATTCACAACAATTATCATAACTTGTCTTAGTGTGAATCGGGGTCGAGTGGTAAAATTCCCCGTTCTAGCAGACATTTTCCTACAACATGAATACATATATACATATATACAACATCATGATAGTCTGCATAATATCCAGAAGTCATTGGAACACTGCAATCAGGAATGAAGGAACTCCTAAATAACCCCATCTGTTATAGCTGCTCAACTATAACATCTCCCTTGGAATCCGCTGTAAACCGATCTTACATGACCACTGGGTATTGAAATAGATGCCATGACCTTGTAATAGCTCACTTACTTCTGATTGGCTCGTTCATAAATTTTAGTCTCGCTGGCAATATACAAGAATAAATCAACTTTTGTAAATCCCCAAAACATACAGATAACCATCAGTAAAGATACTCCAAAATATCACTGGGAAAGTACGCTTGGAAAATTCATAGATACAATTGTTAGTTAAAAGATTTAGCATACAACTCAGCTATCTCTTTTTGTCAGTTATATTTTTACTCTTATGACATTAGTAAATTGACTTCATACAATTAGCCGCTCAGTAGCTGATGATGAGTTCTACTTTCATGAACTTTACTTGAAATTTGACATCACACAAATTTATTTCTACAAGTGATCTCATGTTTGTGTGGTTGATGAAGAGGTGATCGAATTCGATTGTTCAATTCATAGTAAGGCCACTAGTCTATTTTAATCGACATCGCATGCAGAGCGTTTGAACCTAAGGCTGTTAGAGGTAGTTAACGATAAATATTGGATTTAGATTTCATGTTAGCTGACACGCGTGTATATGGCAACTCGACAATCACTGAGAGATCTGATACCCATTGTGTGATATAGGTCCACGTCACTCAGCTTTATAATCTGAGATTTTAATTGTGAGCTAAGTTACTTATACGCTCTGCTGACGAGTGCCAAAGAGCACAAAACCCAGGTCCATGTTTTTCTGCGTTAGTATATAGTGTTTTTTAACGAAAACGTGCGCGCGAGA